TAATGAGATTGCGAGGACAATTTGAGGCTGCTGCACGGGGTGAGTGAGTTAATAGAACGCTACTCAGCTATCGCTAAGTGACCCCATTTCAAGGTGATTCCGTGTGAATAGCAGATCTAAGGGTACCTCATGCTTATCGTACGAGACGACTGTAACGTGGTTCGGGTGGGGACTATGAGTGACCTGGCTGCTTCGAACCGAGTTATTCAGCGTCATTCGAGTGACCACGTTTAGCCATCAGGCAAACACATCTTGATACAATGGAAACATCCTTTGCTATACCAGACGCCCAAGAGAGAGTTAGTATTGTCATAAACACCATCCGCTGCGATTAGCATTCGACATTTAGTCGAAATAATGAATGAAGATGTTATTTTCCTATCAAGCTACCGATATTGCCTTAATTTAGAAAAGTAATTGATCTTTGTGTTTGTTTGTTTGCTTGTTGTGTAACTCAAGCGGCCTGTGAATAATCGAGTCTGAACCCGACAAACCAGTGATTGATATCATCAGCAAAGATCTACGCCGTCAGTGTACGATGCCGCGCAATCAACCAAGATATTGAGTCCGATACATTAAGTTATCTCTGACGACAAGCATAGGTTACTGGGAACCCGGAATCCCCACTGAGACAATAAGAATTAAATATACAATTCTGCCTGTTGAAGTATCCGGGTGTCCCAGTTCATCCGATGGGGAAAGGGCACCCGGAAGTGCATTGCGGTAATGTTCACACTTTGTGAGGGGTGTCTCCCCGTTACCTCCTCTCCGCATATATTCAATAAAACAATTACCAGTCTCATTCCCTTCTCAACTCTAGCGGTCTATATTCACCCCCCTCCTCAGCTCTAGCCGCCTATATCCCCCTCCTCAGCTCTAGCCGCCTATATCCCCCTCCTCAGCTCTAGCCGCCTATATCCCCCTCCTCAGCTCTAGCCCCCTATATTCACCCCCTTCTCAACTCTATCAGTCTATATTCACCCTCCTCAGCTCTAGCCGTCTATATTCACCACCTCCTCAGCTCTAGCCGTCTATATTTATCCTCTTCTCATCTCTTTCAGTCTATATTCACCCTCCTCAGCTCTAGCCGTCTTTATTCATCCCTTCCTCAGCTCTAGCCGAATATTTTCATCCCCTTCTCAACTCTATCAGTCTATATTCACCACCTCCTCAGCTATAGCCGCCTATATTCACCCCCTTCTCAACTCTAGCCGCCTATATTCACCCCTCCTCAGCTCTAGCCGCCTATATTCACACCTTCCTCAGCTCTAGCCGCCTATATTCATCCCTCCTCATCTCTAACCGTCTATATTCACCAACCTCCTAAGCGCTAGCCATCTATATTCACCCCCCTCCTCAGCTCTAGCCGCCTATATTCACCCTCCTCAGCTCTAACCGTCTATATTCACCCCCTCCTCAGCTCTAGCCGTCTATATTCACGCCTTCCTCAGCTCTAGCCGCCTATATTCATCCCTCCTCATCTCTAACCGTCTATATTCACCCCCTCCTCAGCTCTAGCCGCCTATATTCACCCCCTCCTCAGCTCAAGCCGTCTATATTCACCCCTCCTCAGCTCTAGCCGTCTATATTCACCCCCTCCTCAGCTCTGGCCGTCTATACCGACCCCCCCTCCTCAGCTCTGGCCGTCTATATCCCCCCTACTCAGCTCTAGCCGTCTATATTCACCGCCTCCTCAGCTCTCGCCGTCTACATTCGAACTAAAGTCTTCGACTTGACGAGCAAACCCTTTAACCACTAGGCTACCCCCATAAGGACCGACGTGCATATCGGGAAGCTCATACTTGATGCATTATTAGTACTTTGTTATGAAACTGGTAATTCTGTCACCGCCCGAGATAACACCTGCATTTACAGCTGTGCGGGGATTTTACTGCATGATATGTATACATTGCTAAACCGTTCACAATGTTGATATTGGTCTATTAAACAATGCTTAATACCCTTCATTTAAGTACTTCCATGTGGGATTCTCCAAGTACAAAGGGCTGTTAAGTGCAATGAAGACTATTAGTGTATTAGGCATTCAAAAGAGATGCTTCAGGGTGGTTTATAAAGTGCAGGTCTTTTATTCTTGGTTAAACATTCCTTTGAAAGAAGTCTATTTTCGGTGGTATGTTTTCTTCGAGGAGAAGTTATGGTGCTTCAAATGCTAAGCAATCAGGTCTGGTTTTCTCTCTGTTGAATTAATGATGCTTTCGTAAACTGGGATGTACTCACAGCTATGACTAACCAGAACATGGTGGTGATAGGCCACGTCATGTCTGTGTACATACACGACCGCAGCCCCGATGACTCGTCATGGGCAGGTGGTAACCCTACCTTTACCGTTTTACCTGGTCTTAGGGTGTGTGGTCACCATGGCCTCGAATTGGGTAAGATAAACGGACGATCTGGTACACTGGTAAATAAAAGGCTACATGTTGAGGGTGGGTGCGGGGTATGGAGGTGGTGTATTAGAGCAAACCAGTGACTGACAGTATGCTCACCGATACACGCCAGCGGGGGATGATGTCGCGAACACAGACAAGCCAGAGATATCGACCACGTCACCTGATCCCTGTTTTAGTCAGCTCTTACGGCAGGCATTGGGTGTTGGGGATCAATTCTGTATGAGTCACCGAAGTTTGTTTGTTTGTTTGGCTTTCTTTATGCACTCAGTAATACTCCATTTATATGACTGCGGCTGTATATAATCGAGTCTGGACCAGACAATCCATTGAGCAACGGCCAACGCCGGGGAGTTGGTGTGTGTGTGTGTGTGGGGGGGGGGGGGGGGGGGGGGGGGGGGCGTGTGTGGCGGTCTCCGTCATTATCTTCACCAAGGACCTTAACTTCAAGGACCTTAACTACTCAGATGTGTTGACCTATAGTAGCCCTGCTATCCGGTAGTAAATGCATACCCTCTAGGACATTGAGATTATCAACTCTCTGCTCCATTGACCTACTGTAACTCTGCGGTAGTAAACGAGTACCCGAAATGAGAAGGAATATGATGTTGTATTCAAAGTTTGCTTCGAAGGATGATGAGAAAGAAATACACTGTACCCTGCGATCCGGCCGACAGCGCAGTCGAGCTCCATTGAACAGCAGCCATGACACATACTGTTGTAATTAGTTGAAGTATTTATCATATATTTACTAAGGTTATGCTAACCTACATCAACAACATCTAAATAATCGATCGCGAGTACTCACATGTGCAATGTACAGTGATCTAGATCTAGACAGATCTACCTGGATCTTATACGTTGTTGAATCATTTGAATTATTCAACACATACGCACTTCAATGTGAATCTGTACATTCTTAAAAAACTCGAATTCTGAAAGCGTTTGCCATGAAACCTGAACCCTATTAACTCTCTAGATGGACGAAGAAATTATACCTTTAAGGTCACGGCAAATGTCAAGGTCACGGTCACGGTAATATATTCTATTATCGACACTCTGCTTGTCTCTAACTACGGCGAACTCGATATAAAGTAAACTACGGTTATAACGAAGTCAAAGGGGACCACTAATCTTAGTTCGTAATAACCGTAGTTCGTTATAAGTATATATACAGCATATATACAACAAATGGCCGGGACTAAAAAAAAATCGTTATATAGGTCAGTTCGTTAAAAGCGTGTTCGTAGTTTACAGTATTTTGATTGCTGCGCGGGACATCAAAAGCAAAAAAACCCAAACAAAGAAGCAAACCACAAACAAAAACAACAATCTTATTATTGAAATGCTTGTGTATATTCATGTCTGTAGAATAGATCCCACACCCAACACAGAACCAGTCTAAATATGTAAGTAAGTAGTGTCCATTGAGTGATGTCCGCTGTGGACAGTATTTCAGTATTTCGGGATGCCCGACGTCATGCAGGTCGTAGTTTATATACCACGTTTATAAAACAGACGACTATGGGCATGCTGACACACCAAGAATCAATTTTCAAGTTGAATCTCGGATTCGAACCCATTGCATTGGATCCTGGCACGACTAAGACACACAACTCTGCATAGCGAGTTTCTACACCTCAGACGACTGGGTCATCTGTGCCCGTCAGTAGTATTCACGCCTGCTCTTAAAAAGTGTGTATCTGTTTAGATCATTTTTCGGAAATAATTTATCGGATCTTTATCGAATACCAGTATACCAGCTCGCTCAACATTGAAAATAATCTTCGACACTATCAAAATATAAGGATCACCATGAATAAACCGAGGTACCTTAAATCTACTGCTTATGACATAACGTAGAGAGCAGATGTTTAGATATATCCGGCGATATGGATATAGAACAGTAGCTGTCAATATTTGTTTTAAACATTAGGGTCACTTCAACATGACCACAGAATAACGATGGGAGGGGGTGATTCTTTTAATAACCTGGTTTCTGTGTCGTGTTCACGTAATGTATCGATATGATTCATACCCAGATGTTTCTCTGTGCACTGGAGCTGCATATGTTTTTGATGATGGGGTTTTACACAATCTACCGCAGATATGTTAAACCTGAACTGTTAACTTGACAGTGAAGTCTACTTTAATACAGTTTAGCACGAGAAACGACTACGTACTGATCTGAAGCTTACAAAGCAAAGTGGCTATCTGCATGTTAATATCGACATGAGCTATCATTGCCATCTATTGACATCTTTGAATGGTACCTCGGTGTCGTCCCACCGCAAATGTTTAAATAATGTAAACACGCCACGCTCGACTCGTTCTCGAACATGCTACCATTGAAGTCACACATTTAGCAAATATGAATTTAAGTAGCGAATGTTTAACAAAATAACACATGACTAGTTAGCAATGGTCATGTGACAGTTGGAAGCCATCTTGAAAAGAAATCGCTTAAGCGTTTGTATACAAACATAGTCTATAAATAACACCTTTAGCATTGATATTGAAATGCTGGCCGAGAGTTGATCTGGGGGACTGTCATGATGTAGGTTTAAGTAGCGTTTGTTGAAGGTCACTTACCCATATTCCAGATGTTCGTGAAGCCATTTTCTGCCTCCTTTTCATTTCTGGGTTTAACTCTGTATATAAACTCTGTGTCTGTTAAAACAACCTGATGTTGGAGACCATCTTTCTGTAGCTCGCAGTGTAGCATGTTGCTCGTCTTATACAATATGGCATGTGAACCTGTTTGAATCCTTGACCTGTTCTTGGTATTTAATCGGGCGAAAAAAATCGTCTATTCAACCATCAGTTATACTCTGGCCTTCAAGCATGAACTCGGTCGGGAAATGCTGGTATCGCTCATAAGTAAACGATAAACACGTTAAAGGCGGTTTAGGTGAAAGAGGTATTTGGTTCAAGTTGACTTACTTGGAATAATGCATCGCTATGTCAGTCACAGTTTAAATTCGGTCCTCTAAAACGTAATTACCCATAGAGGAGCGGAAACACAATAGAACGTCAATGCCTCTTTCTTCTTCACCATAGAGAAGGCTGGGGATCACCGATATATTTTGTGAAGGTGATATGGTTGACTTGCGCCTGTTTGCTCTGACTTCTTAGACAACATTTCCAAGGCTTGGACGTTCATCCATGTACGGTAAACTATGCAATTACAATCACTCTGGATTGAAATATGCCCGCAGCACAGCCGTCTCCGATACAGATGTCGTCTGCCGGAATGTCGTCTGCTCGCGAAGACGTAGCCGCAAGAAGCTCGTGCTGCATGCTTTTGTTGTTAATTTCACTCACACCCACCAGATTCCATGGGTTCGGATGTCACGCCTTGTCCCATCGCCAAGAATGTTACATGTCTCACCCATACAATATAAGGGGTGGATTCACCCGGAGCAACACGACAGTGGTCGCGGACCTGGGTTATTACCGGGTGTCTGAGATGTATTAGGATGGTGATCTGTGATATTTTTCACTTTAAAAAAATGTATCGGTTCTATTGTACTGCCCATGTGCAGCTGCAGATTCAGTGAGTTACCCCCCGGCAAATATTTCTCGAACAAACTGTTATAACCTTCTGAAGAGCAGGGGTGTTTTTACACATAGGCATCACATCGTTCAGAGCACGGCGGTGTCAGCAAAACAATAAAACTGTGTGATATTAAGATGGCTGTGGTTGTAAAGTTATTTTATGACTTAAAACCCAATTTCTACACACCCTTTGAGAGTAGATGCAATCATTCTTGTAAGATCAAGAGCATTTCTACATCGTAAATGTGCTAATGGAAAAAAACAATTCTACGTTTCAAAAATCAGTTTACATTTGCGAAAATATGTTGAAATATACAAGACATGTGGGTAAACAATCGATCAGGATTTTCAGGGTCAAGTATTAACACAAATAGATCCTCACGACTTAGCAAATGTTTATTAAACAAAATTGTAATTAATTTTTATTAACATAATTAATTAAATAACCATAAATGTGACCTTAATTCCGAAACGTTAAAGATTCGCGAGTACTAATTTTCTTATGAAGACTTTCACGAACACTCAAATCATGGCCGACCGTTCATAGTTTATACACACCCACACGCACGCACGCACACACACATGTGTTGTGTGTGTGTAAATAAACCAAACTGCACCGCATATTGGGCAATTCTCCGTCAATGCGAAGTAAGCGCATCCAAAGCCGAAATAATCCCTGCTATTACTGCTAGCCCTACATACAGTCTATTTACATACCAGGGTCCCCGGTCTCATTGTCAAGTAATAGCAGAGGATCTACTTCACATATAAAGTTTGCCCATCAATCCCACAAGCACCCCTCGTAAGCGTATTGCTCTATTTCACTAGCAAGGTCTCTCGGTACATTTCTCTCTTTTGTCGGTATGCAATTTACCATGAATGCAGTCAAGGATCGCAGCTCATACCCCAATAAAATAACAATTTGTTTATCAATATTCATTGAATCTTCTCGTTTTATGGGGCTTATTTTCTGGCCGATGTCGTTCCTTTGTCGCTGTATTATGCAAGCGAGAAGGTAGCAAAGCGTGGAAGATTGTACCATTGGGATTCCGTGGTTTGTTGGTATAATTTGGCTAGTTTTCTCACGCTTTGTACACCTATGTTTCTGGTGAATGAGCTCAGCTTATGATATATTTAAAGGATAAACACATGGGATAAAGCTTCGTTGTTGTTGAAAAAACATTTAGCTTGGTATTGAATACTTGGGTCCTCTTTCATAGGTATGGTATATTGTTGCTGAGTGTTGTTGAAGAGTTTTAGTATTGTCTTCTTGACGCCGCTCTCAATAAGACAGCTTTATGGCGCGACCTGTCTGAACCAGGCAGACCGATGGTTGATATTATAAGCAACGCCGCACGCAGCCGGGTGAACCAAATTTCGTACAAGCATGAATTACGTGGGATCTATACTACCCTAGAATCTCTCACGAAATAAGATGACACGTTTTCAGTAGGGTGACAATGTTATTTGGAATGAAATATCAGAGGGCATCATTTACGTGTGTGGGTGGGCGTTGGGTAGGGTGGGGTTGTGTGTCGAGGGGTTGTGTGTCGAGCATGGTTTTATCAGAGCGACAAAACCATTTCCATGAACAAACCATCTCCGCTAAAAGCACAGACAATTGTTCGAATCCAACTATATCATAAGCATGTTACTCCCTATCGCCTGGTCACGTCACACCAAGAGACGTTAAAAGATGGTACTTGTTGTCACCCTGCCTGACGTTCAGCACTAGTTGAGGGGATTAGTTGCAGAAGATATCTCAGTGGGCTGGCACTACAAAACCGGCTTAAGTCCGGACAAGAACGAGCGAGCCATATGCCAGCCTACCCCAGTGTGGACACCAATTATAGACTTCATATGTTATTGTTATTTTTACCCATTTTGGGAATCGAAATCAAAATACGTTAAAAGATGGTACTTGTTGTTATCCTGCCTGGCGCCCGGCATTAAGGGGATAAAACAAGGACTGGTCGGTTCAGATTCAGTGTACTGTGTCGGAGTGGGGTATTCATGTTAAACTGCGGCATGGTGTCTCAGTGGTCAAGGAATATAAAATCGGCATTAGCCCGGAGTGAGTGAGTCGGCGAGTGAATGGAGTGAGTGAGTGAGTGAGTGATATTTCAGCCATGTCATGACGAATAAGCAGGTACACACACTCATCTGTATGCACATCGCTACATAAATGCAATAATCTTGAACACGGCTAGGAATAGTAAATAAAATAAAAAGGAAACATCTAAAAGGCTGTCAGCAGTGTTCCAGCCTCCTCATGAAGGAAACACCAAGAATAGGTTTCACATATCGTGCCCCTATGTCGGAACTTGAACCCCAGTCTTGAACGTGATCAGTAACGATTTAGTATCAATGCTACCAATCTGCCGATACTTAACACAGTACAAATACTGAAATACAAATTCGCCAATGACGTTAACAGATATGACGTAATACAATGATGGAATAATCGTACGGCTAGACGCGGCGCGGCGCGGTATTGCATTGTATGGTACAGAAGTGTATGGTACAGTACAACAGTACAGTTTAATAGTACAATACATAATACTTAATAGTGTAGTGCGGAATGGTATGTATGCCACCTTTATTGTATCCTGTGGAGAATTGGATATAGAATAGGTCATAACGTGTCTTCATTGCCGAAATGGTGATCAAGTTATTACAGTGTGTGAGGGGGGATGGGGTTCAATTCCCCACACGTGTGTGAAGCCTATCTCTGGTATCCCCCGCCGTGATGTTGCTGCAATATTGCTGAAAGCGGCGTAAAACCATACTCACTCACTCACTGACTACAGTGTGTGACCTGGATATTTCGTTCTCCGACGGCGTGGATAGTTACGTTTTCTATCAACCACTTGCCTCTCTGGTAAGCCTCGATAACTGACAAACCATAATGCTGTAGTTTTTCTCACTGTGGATTAAAGCAAACGTCAGTCACTCAAGCAGTCTTGACTGTTAACCTCAACGACACGTAAAAGTATAAAAGATGGTACACTATACTCTGGTATCAGAGTTCTGAAGCGAAGTCTTTTGGGTGCCAGGAACCAAATTCGTCCTGATTATGAACCTAGGTATCTCAACACCGCACCCATGTTCGAAGACTAACATCTAGTCCCTGAAATGAACAAATTTTACAGATAAAAACAGTTGTTAAATTATAGTTATAAAAATATAAAAAGGAGCCCAGAGACTCGCAGTAGTCTAGACTTGCCAAATATTATAGACTTGCATGGGCTGAATTGCATATTTTTGTTTCAGGGTATTTTATGAAAGACTACCATGTTCGAGGGATTGACCCAATTGACAAATGTCTGAGACCAGCATCACGTGTCCTTTCACATCAAGCTGATACGTCGTAATGTAAGTGAAATAGCGTTAAAAAGCGGTGTAATCCGCCACACATATCAACTGTGCTATAGACACAGGGGATCGAGGCGGATCCAGGGACTGGGGTTTATACAGGGGGCGCCCACCCTCCCTTTTGAGAGACCTTACATGTTGGCCCCTTGGTCACGTCACTTCGCAATATGTACAACCCCTCGTACCCCCTTTCAAAATCCTCGATCAGCCTCTGAATCCCACCGGCACCAGTGCCTGTTTACATACCAACGCGTAACTACTTGGAGTCAATCGTTCTGCCGATGAAAGGTCAAGATGTAGACTCGAGGCGTCGTAGATCCAGAGCGACCACGGTACCTTGAGCACGTGAGTCATAATAACATCAGTGTCAGTGTTCAGCCTTGGACGTGGCGTCCGCAGGTCAGGTATTGACCTTTGGCCTCTGAACTGTCTCACGTCGTCATCGAACTGGAACAGAAATTGGACACACGAGAATCTCTCGTGAGTTTGACAAATCGTCCTTCGAACGCTTCATGAAACTCATTAAAAGGGATCTGATTCCCCAAGTAAGAGGCAGTTCTGTGAGCTCAGTCTTCCGCGCTGTCTTCGGCGATGTTTACGCTCTAATGCAGCGCCATATTTTCACACCAGTCTTCGAAGAACAAGCGAAGGGTATCATTGCTGCAAGGAGCTTGTACATCTTGCCATTACAGATCTACGTTTTGATTCACATTTTATTTAGTCATTAAAACGTGTTTACGTCTAAGTAAGGTTTAATTTCTTTTTCACACCCGTGACTAAAATAAACGTAAATTCGCCTCACTTGTTATTCTGCCATGAAGTCGGTATGTTAATTGAAACAATTAAGAAAAAACTCCCATTTTGAATTTTCAATTCCATTCTAAAGCATGTAGCACAGCAATCTACGGTGACTTAGGTCGTTAACCTCTGTATATTACTGGATATGTAAGAATGATAAAATATTGGTTTGAGATTATAAAGAGTAAAAATTGTTAGAGGCTCTAACATAGAATATTTTATTATCTGATTGTCAAACATTTGGCTTATGTTAAAATGTTAGTATGTACGCGTGATTTGACTGAAGCATGGTTAAAACCCATTGATTGTAGATCCATATACCTTTTATGCAAAGAGTTACAGATAGTTATATACAAGAATGGAATTGTACTATATCTAAATCAACAAAACTTTCTCCTTATAGTAGTATGAAAACTGGTTTTGTTAACGAAATATACTTAGATATTTTACCTCGGGACTTAAGTAAAAACCTTACAACACTTAGAATATCTGCTCACAAGTTATTAATAGAAACTGGCCCTTGTAATAATATAAATAGAGGTTCTAGATATTGTGATTTTTGTAAGTTATCTAACTTTGATGGAAGATGAGTATCATTCTTATTAATATGTACAAAGTATAAACATTATAGAGTTCAAAATAATACTGGCAAAACCCAAGCGAAGATA